AGGATTCTCCCTATAAGTGATAGTGAAAAAGGAATGGGGCGACAAAGAGTTAGCGCCGCTTAGTACCTGTGTATCCAAGCCTTTACCATCTGAGTATTGACCACAGCTACCACGAAATACGTGAACATATCGACCAGTTTGTCATAATTCCTATCTACATGGCTATGAGCCAGCATGTTATAAAATTTAACAAATGGACATCTTTAAGCCCATTTATTTTCTCAATACTAATATTTGACAAGCAATTGAATGTGATTAGAAAGAATTGTAGTAAAAGTAGGAAAAATTTAAATTCGTATGATTTACCCGTGTGAATCTATTCCAGGTGCCTAAATGGTATTTCTTTCCCGATTTTTCGGATCGTTATCCTCATCTCCGGAAGGTGGCAATATGTTAATTTTATGAAAATGTTTGTAACGCCCGAAAGGTAAAAAGCATATACACTCTCGTATTCCATATAAATATGCCTGCTTGTACGTCCGTTCATATGTGCGTTTGTGCATGGTCGAGTAGTACACATATTCACAAAAATAAATAAATCTGAGATCATTTCTGTTTGCAGGTTGGCATTGAAAACTGGTGAAATGGATCGAAAAACACACCCACATTACAACATAACCTTAGACCATTTCTTTTACCAAAACTATCGTTTTTTATAAACCACAACAGATAGAACGATTCAAATTTGCAAGCATATTCAATAGATGATTGTACAGTGTCTGCAAAAAAAAAAATAAAGAATATCAGCCGCACCCATCTAATATTATAACATATTAAAATTTTGTTGTTTTGCAATGCAGCAGCATCAGGTTATTTTAAGGATTATACAAATTATATATGCTATTGGTAAGAATTAAATATTGCATCCATCTAAGCATGCCTGTTCTCCCGTCTGTCCGTCTCGGCAAGTTTGTGAAGTAAACATTGTCTCAATCCCAGAAGTTAAGGTAAAGGGTTGAAATTTGGAAAAAAAACCTATTGAAGTTATTGCAAACAGTCTGGTATCGGCGAACAATATCACGCCCATTATGTTACATAAACTGGGAACACATATGTTTTCGAACACAAATAAACAAAGCATGGAGTTTTTACTCATTACTCGTATCTCAAGGTAGATGAACCGATAAAAATTTGCACTCAAGAGTATAGAAAATTCGTGGTAAAGATGTAGAGAGACTGATGTAAAAGTAATTGATAAATTGTGGGTTGTGTGATTTGCCATAACGAGTTTACTCGTGCTCTTAAATTATCTTTTTGAAATTGTGCATCCATTTTGTTAAGGTGGTATTTTTTTTTTACTGAGTCTTTTCAGAATTAAAGAAGTGAACGGATTGAATGTCGTCTATAGGTCCTTAACGGGCATTTGTATATATATAAATTGAAAACTTCAAAAGGGACAATACATATCATAACGCATATCAAATTCAAATACAATTTATTAAATTTATTACATCACAAACCCATAAGGAACCATGCAACTTATTTTTTTGCCACTCATATCATGTACCTGCTTTAACTTTTCTAATTTTGGATTTCTTTATGTAAATTATTTCAAATTTTCAAAGTTTTCTTTTTTTTAATACGGACACAGCAATAGTTCTAATGCGGCTTTAATATGAAAGAAGTGAAATCTTACGCTTCTCTCTGGTATGCGCAATATTCAATTCAACAATTGCGCTATTAACCATCTTCCATCGTTAAGTGCTTTAGTTTCGCCCTTTTTACAAGATGGATAGCTAACTTTCAATCCAGATGCATTTAACATTCGTAGACATGTGCCTAGTTTTCGTGGATATTTTTCTGCTCATTTTTCAAACTATTAAAAAACGCTTAACGTTAGTATGAAGATATATATGTAGAGGAAAAGACATATTAAAAGGGAGGATGGATGGAAGATGAGAGTTAGCGAAAAATAGAAAGAGTGAGTCAATGCGAAATTGACATTTGTTTTGTAGCAAAGAATGCTGGAAATCTTGCATTTATCCGGAATCTATAAAATCAGGGAACGTTGAGGACGGTGGATAGTTGTTGATTTTCTATATTCATTCATTTCATTAAAGACGAAAAACTAAATAAAGCATCTTTGTGAAATTTCGACATTGACCTTCGAGAAGTTACTACCCACAATGTATTTGGAAAGTTCGGGTCAAATGATAGTGTTTATGATGTTAACAATTCAATCCGTCAAAAACGTAAATGCAATGCTGAAAATGTCGTGTGAACAAAAAGTCGATAACAAAAGTCGAAAAAATTGAGCAATCGTTTCCAACCCTTTCGATGTTATTATCCCTGTAGTTTCAGGATATTTTTCATAAGGATTTCCATTCCAAGACGTATAAAACACAATCTAGCCAAACGTTAAATCAGATGATTATTTATTGCGTAGAAAAATTTTGCAGACTAGAATAAAATATATATATATATATATATATGTATTGATTACAGTACAAAAAGGAAAATCGTAAATGAGGTCGAACCTGAAGTTTGTGATGACATTTCCGAAATCCCACACATAAACAATGTTTAACACAGCATTTAATAAGTGTATAGGATTTTTTGCAATTTCATCATTAAAACGCATAATGCTATATAATATTCGGTGTAGATCCTTTGTTGCTTCGCAAGATGGTCGATAAAAATTATTCCCGCCCACTTTTCCACTTTTACTTTTTTATCCGCTTTAGATGGTTTCCACCGATTGCAGTTCATGCGGCTGGCTGCCGATTTGCCTCTGGAGTATCATGTTGAATCCGTGGTCGATCCATTGAAATTTTTCGCATGAAAACGTCTTCTATAGTTCGATTAAAGAGCTCCAAATATCGCTTTGATCTGTTGTTACCTTGTTGTTTTGAGTCGAGAGGGCGGAGATGCGGTATCCACTTCGACCGAAAATCTTCTCAAAGACAAACGTTCGTCGATATTACTGAATATACTGCCTTCTGATATCATTGAGGTATTAACTATCCCATGCAACGTTACTTATCGATCTTCAAAAGCGATTTTCTTCACTCTTCTTAGGCACTCAGGAACAAGTTCCGGCTTCGGATAACCATTTGTCTCGATAACGCTTTTTAAGCCGATACTCTGCTTGAACAGTATTTTTCGCTATGAAAAAGCAATGCTTTATTGACACAAAGGTGGCGTCTCTAAGCTAACTACAACTTGTAAACCAATGATCGAAATATCATGAAATTTTTCTACACTTCCTTTGAAGGGTTTGTCATTGTACATTCAAACGTCATCCCACGAACTTATTGAATTATGTTTTGAGCATGAATAAGAAAACCGAGCTATTCATATATCTCAGTTTTGCATTCTTCAATAAGAGTAAAATGTAACCTTACAATATGTTTGTAAACTTGGCAGAAAACCCCAACTCAAGTTCTGTTGCGGACGTTATTTGCGAAGCTTCAGCTTAGGGTTCTCCATCACCAATTTGCTCTTCGTTCTGACCCGTAGACAATCACTGCACCAGCATTGCAATCTACTCTGACAATCATTGGTCGTCAAGAGAGAGAAATCGAACATAACCTCAAAAACTGATAAATTATTTACATCGATCCGCTAAAGGAACTGAAGAGTCAACTTTTACATTATAGTTTACCACCAAAAAGCTGCTATCACGTAAAGTAATGGCAATGCCTTTATAGTATTTGCATATATACCTTAAGAAAAGATAGACTAGATAGGTAAGAAAAGACTTGGCTAAACGGAATTGTATAGTAAATCCAAAGGCAAGTGTGACTGCTGTCGCGTAAAGTAATGCTAAAGACTTTATAGTGTAAGTTTAAGCTTCACGGGAGTTAAGGGCCCACCCACTATCAACCTGTGTGTAGAGGAACTCCTTAGGAAGAGAATCCTGTAGTTTTTTAAGCTCAGTGGCCCACGCACTATCTATCTCTACGTAGAGAAACTCCTACGAGAGGCAATCTTATAGTTGCGGTAGGGACTTCTGATTGCTGGGTATAAAGCTTCGGGAAATATCGAGATGCCTGTCGTTTTCAACAATTCCTAAGGCGTATAATTAGAGATGAAGATAGGCGTTGACATTCCCCCGAATGGATTTATTGGCCAAACACTTTAAATCAATCTCGTACTCCAGTTGCTTTGGCGGGTCCATAGTAAATAGAAGTTACCTTACTTCCTAAGGGCACCGGATCACGCATAGATAACCCGTTTGTCAAAGGCATTAAATTTTCCTACAGACGCTCATATTAAACCACGAGAAAAATTTTTTCTTCGAACATTTTGATCTCCAATTCCTTCTTGTCCTTATCTGATAGTCGTTAGCAACGTAACTAGCTAATAGGGATTACCTTACACCATGGGAGCACCGGATCACACATAAACAACCCATTTGTCAAAGGCATTAAATTTTACTACAGGCACTCACTAGACAGACACTTTAAACTGCAATTCCTTCTTTTCCTTATCTGATAGTCGTTACTAACGTAAATGAACGCTGACTACCTTTCGACGATTGCAGAAGAAAAACTTAACCTTAAAAAAGTGTATTTTTTTAGATATTTGCGAAACTTTGTTAAATATTTTACGTTTATTATCGTATCGATTTTCTTTAAAAAATTTATACGCGATACGCAATATTATTATTTTCTGAAGTTATAAAACACCATTTTGATTAAATAAAGAAAATATTTATTTTGTGCAAGTATTTACAAAAAAAGGAAAAAAAAAAAAAGAAGAAACTTTGCTTTGTTTTTTTTTTGCGTACTTTATTAATTTTTTAATGGATATTTAACACCAATCAGAGTAAAATGTTGCATTTAATTGAAAAGCATTTCTTGGAAAATGAAATGTAAGCGGAAACGATATTCGCGCATTTTAATTAAACATTTATTTGATTTTCAACTGAGTTAAAGCGTTGCAATAAACTTGTTAATTATAATGGAAAAGAGCAGTCTTTGCACCTGTATTTTTTTATTTTTTTTTTAAGCAACATTTATTATTAATTCTTAAAAATGCCCACTTAAGCAACTTACTTGCTTTAGTTGTATTTGTTAATCTGTTGGTATTGCTGTTATTGCTGTAATCGCGACGATGTGTGGAACGAAATACTCCCATCGATGTTGATGATGATGCAGATGCTCCAGACTTACGGCGATTATTATCACTTTGTTCATCATTACTATCGATTGTTGCTAATGAACTTGTAATTAAATTGTCATCTAATGTAAAACCATCCAACCAATACATGACATGTTATGTTATTTAATTACATTATAACAGGCAGAGTAATAAAACTTTAATTAGTTAATCTTTAAGCTTGATTTGTTTCTATTTCGATTTTTTTTGTTTTTCAAAATTTCTGCGAAAAAAAGAAAAAATTCATTTTCTATTCTTAATTTTTCTATTTTCCTTTTTTTTTCTTTTTTCTTTTTTTTTTGGTTATAATTATTTTCTTTTGTTGTAATTAATATCACCCGCTTTTTTTTTTTTTTTTTTTGGTTGTTTTCTTTTTTATTCCAATTCACGTGTGTTTGCGAACGCTGCTTAGTATGAATTGCTGTTGTTCTCCTTCTCAGAATATTAGAACAATAATCATTAGGTGAATGGAACACAAAAAAAATACATACAAATAACAGTGGCAAACAGTTTCTGTAATACGTATCGATTGATTGGTATAGTCTGTGAAGCAATAGTCACTAAACGAGCTATTTACGTTTCTCTGCTTGACGGCTTACTTGTCTCTTGGAATGTATACACATTATTGTTATTGTGTTATTTTGACCATCAGCACATACAACATATAAGATATATAAACTTTCGTGATGCGTACGAGTTGAGTTTAAACAAACAACAATTTTGAACATATGATGATATCCATCTATGATACGAATTATAAGCGGGATATATAGCATATGAATGAGGAAGAACTTGATTAGTGCTTGAATTGGGGCAGGCTATACCCGATGTTATCTGAAAACACGATTATGGTTTTAAAGCTTTCCTCGAAAAATCATGCCTGGTCTCAACATTTTTTTTTCTTATCCCTATCAGCTCTTGTGCTCGTTCATACCTACCAAAGAACCCCAACAATAACGCAATTTTGCAAACCGTTTAATGTAAAGAAGTTTAGATTAGAATTTTACATTTTTCTAAAAGAGGAATATCTCCCTATATGTTATTATTATTACTATTTATTTAGGCAGAGAAATAAATTCTCTAATAAAAGACTCAAGTCCGAAAGTACCAGCATCCAAGGCTGTCGGCTTTTTTAGGAACTCTACCGCACTTGAGATACGCACCCACGACTAATGAGTAGCGAATCGCGATTCTTTGCCTTCGGATGACGGATGTCCCCCTGAATAACCAAAAAAACTTCCATATCAATCTGCTGGAGCGTGTAGATAGTGTCCCATCGTTACCTTTAGCTGCAAATTTGTAGGGCGTATATGTAGGGCGTATAATGCCGTATATATGATACAAGGCATTCTCGACATATACCGTGTACGATACATATGATACGACGTGTGATCAATATGGCGTAGATATATATATATCAATATGCTATATATCGTAAAAGTACATTTTCAAGTTATTTTATCTGCATTGATACGGTATATGATCGGTATATACGATATGTACGATATGTATAAAACGTTCCCTATGTCGTATGCGCCAGAAAGTGGAAAGGTGCAAGTTGCAATAAACAATCTACATATCGTATAAAGGCATTTCCATTTTATTGTCCTTGTAAACGGGACACAAGTGTGTAGGCATTTAAAGATTCGTTTTAAATCGTATATAACTTCATTTTTGCTTTTTTTTTTTTTTTTGAAAATTTTCAATTTCCGTTGGAAAGAGAAACATATGAGCTTATATGGGCGGTAATCGCGTAGCTAAATAAAAATTAATTTTCACTAATTTTACTTTTTCTTCGTTTTATATATCGACATATTTTTAGAATTCTTTCTTACTTTTCTCCCACATAATCAATCGTTTTTTAATTTATTATTTTCTGCTTAAAATAATAAAGAAAACAAATTGTCTATAGTCCATTAATTTCGAATTTTTAATTACCAATAATCTACAAATAATGCGTTTTAAGTACAGTGCGCTGAGGGCGGGGGTGGATTGGGGGGAGGGGGGGAGAAACGTGTTGGCCTTAGATTTCATTTCGATGAATAAAATGTATTCGTTTTCGCGAATTGAGCATATAATGTTTACAGACAGACAATCTTTAAAATTAGTTCCGCCGAACTGCTGAAATAGTTAATGAAAGGCTTCCTTTTCATTTATTTATTTCTTTTTTTGTTTTTCATTGATTTCATTGTGATTGCGTTCATAAGAGAACATCGCTTATTTTGAAACTCTATTCGCCGCGTGCGTTGTATGCCATAGCGGAAAAGCGTAATATAATCAACAATATAGCGATTTTTTTAGTCAAGCTCTCGTATATATACATATATATATATATAGGGAGATGTATATTACGTCTATATGTGATTTTGTAACGAATATCTGAGAATTGCTGTTTGCCCCCTCCCTCGTATATTGTACATATATATATACATGGTGATATATATTTCGTCTATGTACGATTCTGTAACGAATATCTCAGAAATGCTGTTTGCAGATGTTTGCCTCCGCAATGAAAGTATTAATCGAAAGTAGTGAGCAGCGTAAAGAAGGTCCGAAAAGAAGACTAAAAATAAACTAATAAACTAAATTATGCGAAAAGTATTTGTTGAAAACGATGAGAGCTACGATAAATTATTGCATTGTGTGAAGCAATCCAGTTTCACTGACACGCTTGTCGAGCACAGTGTCGTAACCTAAGGTCAAAGCTGAAAACTGTTTCGGGATTTAGGAAAGCTGCACAATCCGTAATGTTGTGTAATAAAAAAAATGGAATTTTTTTTTGTATTTTCAAAAAAGAGCAGAAGAATTTCGAGCTCCCCATATGAATAAACGTTTTTTACAGGAAAAACGCCATCCGAGAAAGACGAAATTATTTGTGAAATTTCATTTCGTAGATTTTGGCTTTCAGTAGCCGATCCATTTAAAGCTTCTACTGACTTCGAGTACAGATACCAGATTTTGCATTTGCCCAGTTTCCAGGGCATGGAATGCAGGCAATAGTCGGTGATTATGGCGGTATTTATCCATTTATCCTCTGTCGATAATTTCAATTCCTTGATTTATCCTCGTAAGTCTTTAATTCTGATACGATGTACCTTTGCTTCTATACCTGCCTTCTGTCGATAATCCTGATTACGATTTACTTTCACTCATATATCTTTCATATGTCTTTTGTTTTGATACGATGGGCCTCTGCTCCTGTATGGCTGCCATCTGGCATCTGTCGACACGATTTAAGTTCACTCGCAAGTTTTTCATCAATCTTTGCTTTAATTTAGGCTCTCGTAGGCTTGTATATGTCGATAATTCTGTTTTTTTAGGTCTGTCATCTGTTGATGATGCATTTCCTGTCGTTTGTCGACAATTCTGGACTCGATGCTCATTTGCTCCAATGCTTGCCATCTGTCAATGATTCTGATTCGAGTGGTGTTCACCAGAGCGTTTGTCATTATGTCTTATCTTTCGATGATTTTAACACGATGAGTGCCTACTTTTACACCAATCGATGCTTCTCGTATAATTTTCGTCTTCGCCTATGTGTGCCGTCACTCGTACTCATCCGATATGTTTTTGCTTATAGGTGTATCATCCCTCGATGATGCTTACAAGGATTTTATTTGCTCCCACGTTTATCATATGTCAATGATTCGAATACGATTGTTGTCCAACGGCAGACATTTCACCTTTACTCCTTTACTCTTTACTCATCTATCGGTGATTCTAACACAGTCAACGTCTAATCATAGATCTTTTTTCGTAGGTTTCTTTTCCCATGTCTGTTATTTGTGTATAATACTGATCCGATTTGCTTCTGCTCATAGCTCTGTGATCTAGCGACGTTTCTAATACGATTTATCTACGAACGTTCGCTTCTCATCTGCTGTAAGCATTTTTAAAATCAGAAAAGTAGAACAGAATGCTGAGACCAAGTACTATTTATATACATTTGCTTAAAGTAATATATTTTTCTGGTTTATCTTCTGTATAGTTCAGCAAAGCTGTGGAGGCTATTTACCCAATGTGCAATTCCACACAAAAGCTTATCCCATGCACAATTATGATCAAATATAGTTCGCTTGGTCATACTCCATAATATATAAAAAGATTTGTTCAGTAACGGCGAGTAACGGCATTGATTTTGTCTTGGCTAACTATATGTGTAACTGTCGGTAAATACGTTGCGATTAGAAAGGGGATATCATTAGAGAACTGAACTATGGGATCCTTTTGGATAACGTACCGACACCCACCCTATAAACGTTGACGGTTGCTTTTTATGGCTCTCACTTTCAAGAGCTGCACAATGCAACGGCAAAGAAGGGTTTAAGATTTGTTTTATATAGCCTGGTGACGTATTTTTTTTCTTAGAACCGTAAGAGGTTTATCGGAAAAAAGCTCTCTTCTCTCTTTTGGTTCTATTTTTCGGGGTTCATCAAACGCAAGATGGTCAGCGATATTTAAGAGGACAGGGGGGCAGTCAGGTGCGTGCTGTGTGATGACAACATTGGAAGCATTATTTCCTCGTGAAAGGATAGTGTTTGGGTGGCCTTCCGTGACATAATCCAACGATAAGAGTGCCTCCGTCTGCGTACAGTAAAAGATCGCTCACAACAGTCCAGCAATATCTAAGTTCTGTAATAGAATGATAAGTCATGAAGTTAATCGACATCCACGGGGGTCAGGTTGCCGGAAAGTAGGACTGCTCACGGTATGAAGATAAACTACCCATCTGACTATAAGAATGAATGTGTTTTCACCTAACTACTAGCTACGGCCCTTTGAGGAGTATCATGGTGGCTGTGCTTTTCAGAGAGGCCGCGACTCATATCCACTTTCTGTTTCGGTACCTCAGAAGCAGTAGCTTCTTTCAGTCGTGGTTGTCCCACCGCTAGGATGCGTCGGTTATCGATTTTCAAAATAACTCGTGTGCAATCAAGTGCTATGGAGTTAGGCCTACACGATAGCAACCCACATAAAATCATATAAGGAATCTGTGAATTCATTACCTCTTCTGAAAGAATTTGCTTAGTACCAAATTTCTTTAGATCATTCTTGTTAGGTTAAATTCGAAAGTTACCAAAATTTTGCATATAAATTTTTCACCCCACAAAAGCCCATATACAACTGTACGAATATTATTTGAACTTCACTTATTACCTATAAAGACTTGGCAAAATGTGGACAAGTCTTTTCTCAAATCTACGATATATGCGATACGATATACGATGCACGATTTTTTTAAT